TATATATATATATATATATGACAGGCACATTAAGTAAAACGTCACAAAACAAGTGCCTTCAACAAGATGATACCACACGCGGGATGCATTAATTTGTTATTTATTACTCGTGTCATTGTCCTGTCCTGTGGAAGGCACTTAATATCCACGAATTGGATTAATGAAAGTAATAAAGAGTTGCCACGTGAAAAAAATTCCCAATTCACGAAAACTGATTCCTGCTTATCGTATTTTACTAAATAATTTTAAAATTACTAGTATTTTAATATTGTAATATATAATATAAAAAATTTTATATGATTAAAATAATATTTAAAGTTTTTAATGTATAGATCAAAATAATACTATATAACTTAATAAAATTAAAAGAAAAAAAATGTTACTACAGTTATAATATAATAGTAAAACATCTAAAAATAAGAAAATTTATATTGAAGCTGCAGGAGGAGGAGAGCATTAAATGAATTTCGTCCTCTGCCATCGGGCTTGACCACATTTAGTTGGAGAATAATTACTTGCAATACTTTTTTATCTTACTCATATTTTTTTGGTTATTGATTGAATATAACAAATATTAATTAGTCTACCACTAAATTAATATAGATTCACTAAATCATACAAAACACAAACAAAATTTATGATTTTTATTAAATTTCAGTGAATAATAAATTGTTAGAAAAAGAGAATTAAAAAGAGTATCACTAATATTTTTCTTTGTCTAAAATAGACTTATTTCAAAGGTTTAGAACATATTTGAATGGTTGGGATTTTTGAATTTTTAAATATAATTTTTAAAATAAATGTAATAATATAAGGTTTATAATCTATTTAAATATAATTTTTCAAAAAAAACATAATAATTAAAATTTTAAATATTTTGAGGTTTAATATATTTATAACCTCCTAAACCTTTTTTTTGTGTTAAAAAACGTTTTTTTGATTGTTTTTTAATTTAAGTCCTCAAATTATAAAAAAAAATGTAATTGATTTTGTTTCTTCTAATTTTTATAATCAAGTCCATGAGTAATATTTATAAGCTCCTAAACCTTTTATTTCTGTCTTTTGAAAAGTAATACTGTCTCCATTTTATGTTATAGAATGCAGTTTGCATTGTTTATTCCAAAGACTAACAAAATAGTAGTAATGTGATGATGTGCAGTCATATTGGGAGATTACATCTGATAAATACCTAGACTACATAAAGCAATATGTTGTGGGAATTGGACCTTGGAAGGACACGTTGGTACCTGTGGTAAATTATTATACGATAAATCCTACTAATCTTGTTACTATGGCTCATGCACATAACCTGCAGGTACAGTTCTGGTTTAAAGCTTATTTTCTTTCATATGATTTGATAATTTTTGGTAGACTGAGTGAAATTATTCTTGATCTGGTTGTCTTATATGTTTCTTGAGAATCTGTTGACATTTCCTCTCTTTAATTTGTAATCTACTGCATTGTCTTCCATAACAAATAACAAATATGAATTGCTAATAATAATGCAGGTACATCCACATAAATGAGAACCTATTTTTACACTTCAGCTTCTCTCAAGAACCGTATTTTTACAGACTTCACTGGTAGTCTTCATCATTTTCAGGAATGGACCTCTAACCGTCAAGATGATGATTGCAAAAATGAATCCAAGTTACTGCATAAAATTGCTTTGTTGGTCTCCTCTTATAAATAATCTTGAGAAGTCAAATGGTGTATAAGTGTTTGGATTAATTTATTGTGTTCAAAAAAATCTTATAGCTATTTACAAGAGATCTTTTGACTAAAGTATCCGAAAATTAAGCAAAATCAAACATCACTAATCAATCACAGTGAGGCAAAACCGGTATATAACCCACGCCCTCCATGTCTAAATAAAGTGAAGGTTCAATAAAAGGGGCATAAACATGAGCTTTCGTCCATGCCCTCCATGTTTAAATAAGGAGTGCGCTTATACGTGGACAAGTTTTCACCATAATGCCCAACCTACATGTCAATATTTGAACTGCCTACTTCCTGAATCTTGGAAAGTTTAATTAGTATGGAACATTTTTCTGTTTATTAAAAACAAACTCTAACTAATATACCACATGATAACTCAGCAAAGCAAACTAAAATCTCGCATTAAATTATATCCAAGATCAAGCTGAAATTTAAGATAGTGCTGCATATAAAGAAACATGCTGCTGCAGTGGAAATGTCTGAAAAGGTTTCAACCATTCACAACGCAAGTTGTCTGTCAACAATATACTATTTTGCCATTTTAACTTTATGATACTCTTAAGCATGTTGTCAGGAATTTGACTATTGGTCAGGAGATATCCTCGGCGCAAACAAAAAAAAGAAGGAATATGATTGATTTGTGAATCAGTTGTTTCAGGCATCTCAAACAAAAAGCACAGCCAATAACACTAACATTAAGGGCTATTATAAGGCAACGTCCTTAATTGCCGCAGTACAAAAGGAGTTGAAATCTTGTCACTAATATGCTAACCGTTGAAATTTTCAAGAGAAAAGAAATGCAGAATTTGATTCACCGAGAACAAAAAATATATTGAATGAGAAAGTCACACTGTTATGGATGTTCCAAATACAATTTATAAATCTTAAAGAATAACTACCCACTAACAAATGGTCCTAGGAATAAACCACAAAGAAAAACAGGGATAACAAAGCGCCTAAACTTCCCAAGTGACTCCTTAAGACTAGGAAAACAACTACAAATAAAATAACATAATCAGAACTTGGACATGTTTCAGTCTTGAAGCATTTTCCTAACACTAACTTCACAAGAAATATCCACCACTTAAGCATTACAATTTTTGCAAGTTAAGCACATGAATACCATGGCTAAAAGGAATTGAGAGAAGTTAAGAATAAACTATAGAGAAAATGAGAAGAGTGAAAATCTCGGTCACCAAATAAAGGTTCCTCATTTATATAATAGATGTGACAATAAGCTGTAATCAAGAAAACTCTCAAGCTTGCCCCATTTTACACAGAAAATTAAGTTCAGACATCTAATATTATAAACCAATTCAGTTTATCACTTTCACATGTACTTTTGAGCTAATTTATAATTGAAATTCCACATCAGATGTGACAGACTATTATAGCAAGAATCTAATAGATTATAAAATAACCATTAGTAACAAGTAACAAGTATCCTGCCAGATTAATAATAATAAGTGAGTACTCTTTACATTGCCACATGCATTGCAAAAAAACACACAATAAGTCAAGTCCTCTTTGCATTGCCACGTATGTGTTGCATAAAACAGAAGTTCTTTGTTACTTTAGACTCAAGCAAAACATCTCTTGATCTTCCAAAAAGTAAAACAGTGGAAGTTAATCAGAATCCATCTTCTATCAAGTTGATTCTTACGCTGCGTACCTGTAGTGCAAAACAAAAGGTCTGTAATAGATTTCAATGTGGCCATAACATTCACTCTGCAGGTCTATTAAAGAACGATACTCTAACATATGATTCATATTTGTCCATCACAAGGGCTAAAATTTGACAGCTAAGAATTTTCACAGTAATGAATATAAAGCACCAACTCTAATATAGATATCAAACGCAACACAGGAACACAACTAATAAGCAAAATATGACACTGAGACATTACATGTATGTGTGTATAACTACATGACAAAAATCTAAATTGAGAATTAAGATTTATATATATTCACCTTGTAGAAACAAAGTTGTTAAACTTAACAATTTTTATATGATAAGAGATGGATCATTTCACAATGAAATCTTTAAAAAAAAAAATCCATGATAAAATTATGAATTATATCTCTTAAAAGTTAAATACCTAGTAGTTCTTATGAAAATGAAACTTAGAAAACAACAAAAGATGTTATGAGCCTTGCAATATTTATAAAACAAGTTGACTTTTTAATTTTTTTTAAAGAATGTCAGATAAGTGTTTAGCCAAGAGTAGGTGTCAGCTCACTCTTTTTGACATTTGTCCAAGTTGTGTCGGATAGGTATCAAGCCGTGTCAAAGAGGTGTTCAAGAAAAAAAAATAATAAAATTATGACACAATGGAAAGGTGTGAGATGCATGTCTAACAAGTATCATGTCTAAAACATGCCTCACATGTCGATATGCCATTTTGTAGAGGAGTTTTTGCTTCATAGGTTATGATATATAACCCTTTTCTCTATAAAATTCAACTATATTCAAGGATGGTGATAGGATGGAAGAAAGTAAAACATATTACTTAACCTTAGGTCTTTCCACACCCTTTTTAACCACACAAATAAATTTTATATTTGATTGCCTTTTCTAACTAGAGATTGTTTTAGTCTTTATAACTAATCCATTTTCACCAAGCTTTACAACATTTGACCCAAGAGATGTGTCATGTGTTAGGAAGTCCACAAGAAATTTAAAACATTGTTGAATCTTCTATGATATAGACAACACCATAAATGTGACCTTACTTGGATAAAGGGTCTGTTCGTGTAAACTTATCCAGAACCACCTTTAGAAGTTTACCTAAGCATGTCTAGAGTATCTAAGTTGGTTGAATTTTCTTAAACACCAAACAGTTCTGAGTTGTTGCTTATCAAGTAACTTTGATCTTAAAAAGAAACATTTGTATTCCATAAAGCAACATGACAATTAATCAGTGTACCAATGTTCTGAATTTACGACAAAGGCTAAAGTACGACAAAGGCTAAAAGAAAACAATAAGAGGATGTTTTAATATACCTTTCCATAACTTTCCATTTAAGGAGATCAACCAAATAAGTAGGCCATGACATTGGTAGGTATAGCATAGGAGGAAGGACGTCCATCCATGTTTAACTTAAAAACCACCGCTCTAGTGAAAGGAGAATACCGACCATTCAGCAGATCAGGAAACATAGACAGAACCTAGGAAATAAGTATTCAAAAGAGAATAATTTAGTTGAAAGAACAGTAGTGTAGCAACTATTAATCAAAATACCAGATTGAAAAAAAATTATGCTTACTTTAATAACATCAAGGGATAAAGATACAAACTTTGCACTTCTCATCACCTCAAACAACGTAATCAGCCGAAGAGAAAGATCAGTATCCTTAGTCAAACAGTTTATAACAATATTCACTTTCTCCACTTGGGAAAGATTCACCCTTGCAGAAAAATTATAAAGATGAGAATCACGGTAGCTAAAAGATTGAAGCCTTGGCGTGAAAAGCTCAATAACACAGTCAGAATCAAACACATCATCCACTCTCATCCGAGACACTCAAATCCACAAGATGGGGCGCAGAGATTTTGAAGCTCTTAACACTGCCATAGTACTGGCAATCATGCAGACACAAGCATCTGAGATTATGACAACCCCTGAAAAGATCAAGTTCCTCCTCTGCCCCACACTCGAACCGACAATCAAAAAAGTACAGGCATTGAAGAGAAAAGAAGTCAAAAGTTGTGGCCTCGGCGGATATGTCGGCGAGCTTGAGGGTGGTGAGGGATTGTCACAAAGAGAGTTGAGGAAGGTTGGCCACGAGGCATTCGGCGTAGATGGTGAGAAGCTGAATGGTGGGTGAGTGGGTGACATGGTCAATGATGGATTCAACCATGTGGCCATCGTCGAGTTCATCATTGCAGGAGAAGTTGAGGGCGTAGAGGTTGGGGGGAGAGTCTCTGTGGGACATGAAGTGGTGGATGAAAGAGTGGAAGAGGAGAGGGTGGTGGAAGGAGGAAGAGTTGAAGTTGAGGCCGGGGAGGGAAGTCCAAAGCTTCTTCCATAGCTTACTCAAAACGCTCGTTTGAACCGCTGAAACTGCGTCCACAAAGGAAAGCACACGGTGGATGATTTCGTCCGGTAACCTGCTTAGCCTGTCTACCTTCTTTTTCTTCCAATTACTGTCATTGCTGTTTGCCTTGGTGGTGAACTTTGAACTTGAAACCTTCATCTTTTTTCTTGCTAAATAAAATTTAACTATTTCTTTTTGCTTTTTTTTTTTTATTTCTCTTTTATCTTTGAAATCATTTGCATTCTCTTCTCGTCTTAAAAAGAATAAATTTTTTGAACAGTCTTTATCTCAGAAGAGTCACAAATGAGTTTAAGATTTAGGGTTTAGATAAGTCACAAAATAGTTCAAGTCTCAAGATTTAGATGAGTCACAGACTTAGATATAATATTTGTGATGAACCTTTAAATCAAATAAGTCACAAATGAATTTAGGATTTAGGGTTCAAATGAGTCATGAGTGAGTTTAGACTTTAGAGTTTAGGGTTTAGATAACTCACAGATGTAATACTAGTGATGAATCTTTAAATCAAATGAGTTAGAGATGAGTTTAAGATTTAGGGTGCAGATAAATCATGAGTGAACTTAGGGTTTTAGGGTTCAAATAACTCACAGATGTAATACTTGTGATGAATCTCTAAGTCAGATGAGTCACAAGTGAGTTTAGGATTTAGAGTTCAGATGAGTCATATGTGAGTTTAAGATTTAGGGTTTAGACAAGTTATGAGTGAGTTTAGGGTTTAGGGTTTAGATGCCTTGCATGTGTAATATGTGTGATGAATCCTTAAGTCAGGTGAGTCACTAGTAAATTTAAAATTTAGAGTTCTGATCAGCCATAAACTCATAAGGTTCATATGAGTTTTGAAAATAGGATTCACATGAGTCACATTTGAGCTTTGGAATTAGGATTCAGACAACTCACATGTGAGTTTTGAAATTAGGATTCAGATAAGTCAATGGTGCGTTTTAGAATTAGGATTCAGATAAGTCACATGTGAGTTTTGAAATTAAGATTCAGATAAGTCACAGGTGAGTTAATATATTGTTGGTGTAAGATGTAATCAATACTATTAAATAAATTTTTTTAGAAATTCCTTTCACTTGTTTTTCTTTAAAATTAGTCTTATCTCTGACCTTAAAACAAATTATATAAACAATGAATCTTCAGGTTAAATATTTCACAGGTGAGTCAATATTGTATTACTATTAGGTAGAATCAACAGTATAGATTATACTAGCTACTGAAACAATATATTATTTAAAAATAATATCAAAATTCTCTTGAAAATTAAATGGTCATTTTTAAATTTATTAAAAATTGAATAGTCAAAATTAGTCAACAATTTTAATAAGAAAAAATTTCTTAATTTATATTCACACTTTACTTTTAAAATTTTCAGTTGAAGAAAAGAAACATAAAATACTAGAAACACCTTCTATGTTACAAACTTTTTTTTCTTCTATTAATTAAAAATAACACATGCTAATGTTTAAATATAAGATAATATTGGAACAAGTCTTTTAAGATTTAGTTTGCACACTTCCTTTTCTTTCTCTTACTTTTGTAACGACCCGGCTAGTCACTACACACGGCATCGTACACTAGAAACTCCAGACAGATAGAACAAGTATATAAATATAGGATCTAGAATATATAAATATACAAAGTTCTGGTCTGACTAGGGTTAAAGTGCACCAAAGAAAATTACAACCAAATGCTACTATCCCAAGTAGCTACAAGCAAAATATCCACACAAGCAAAACAGCTCCAAGGTCCGCCGGAGACTCATCCCAAGACGCCCACCTATTCCTGTTCTGCTCCCATACATAGTATGATCATCGCAGTCCAACAACATGGAAAACAGCAAAGGGTAAGCTAGTATACTTTAAAAATCAACCTATAATTAAGGAAGATAAATATTCTTTTTAATATTTTTTTAAATTAAATTAAATTATTATAATATTTTTTTATATAAATTAATTAAATAAAAAAAATAATAGATTTTTTTTAAAATTTTGGTGTAAGTTGTTAATATATTCTAATTAAAAAATAAGTGAGTATGCTAGCAATCCCTTATATATATAGAGAGAGAGGGATCTTCGTTCATTTATATAAAAAGTAAATCTAGTTAAACTTATCTAATTCAATAACTTATACTTTATGTTAGTCACTTAGTCTCGTATAACTTAAGAGGAGAGGTGAATTAAGTTTTCTAAATTTTTCTCTTGTAAAAACTTTTTCAATTACTTTTTTTATCAATTTATTTCCTTAGACAAATTTGTATGTAAAGATTGATGATGTAGAACAACTCAAACACAATTAAATAACAAATAAATAAAAGTGTAGGGAAGAAGAATTGCAAACTTGATTTTATACTGGTTCGGCCAATCCTGCCTACATCCAGTCCTCAAGTCTCTCACTTGAGATTTCCACTGCTCTTGTAAACCTTACAAGAAAATGAATCCTCCAACACCTCGGAACTCCCTTTCCTTGTGTTGAGATTCAAACACCAACAAGGAGAAAAACCCTTTCTCCTTTACAGATCCAATGATCTATTAAGTATTACAGAATGACTCTCTTGAAGAGTGGATATTACACTTTCATGATCTTTGATGAACTCTTTAGAGATTTTGCAAATGATTTTGGCCAAGTGATTTGTAAAGATTATTTTCACAATAGAGTTCGTCACCTTTCTCTGAAAAATTATAGGTATTTATAGACAATTGTTTCTTAGGTTATGTCTTTTCATGAAGAGTTGTAACTTTCTATAATTTTTCAGAAAATAGGCTCTGGTAATCGATTACAAGACTTGGTAATCGATTACAACGGTTAAAGTTCAAAATGATTGAAACGTTGTATAATTTAAATTCAAATTTTGAAGTTTTATCTTCTGGTAATCGATTACAAGGGTCTGGTAATCGATTACCAGAACACATTTTGTATTCAGAATTTGAACTTTGAAATTTCCTGTTCTGGTAATGGATTACAAGGTCTGGTAATGGATTACCAGAACATATTTTTATTGTTTCAAAAACTTTTATGTAGAAAACTTCATCTCAATAATTTCTTTCACAAATCTCTTTTAAGAAATGATTTGAACTATTTTTTAAAGCTTTTGTTAAGTCTTTTGAAAACATTTTTACTTACTTTCAAAAGAATTAAAAACTTGCTTAATTTTAGAGAGATTAATTTGAGGTTTTTGAAAACTTATTCTCAAGGCCAAGCATACTTGCAATTCCAAAAGATTCTTTTACATACATAGCTAAGTTGACAAGACTTATCTATGTATCACTTGAGATCTTGTTCTTGCATCAACTTGCTTTAGCTCAACCTTGATTCTTCTTCAATGCTTTATAATCACTTTGGCATCATCAAAACAGTAAGGAGAGTAAGGGTGAAGGGAAATGGAGAGTGAGTGGAAGAGGGGGGTGTCGGGGAGAGAAAAAAAAAATGAATAGGGGAAGTAGGGTCTCGCATTAAACAAGTAAGGGTCTCACAACTTTTACCTAAGATTAGTTTGTGTTTTGTTGTGTTATAAGACTTAATTTTTTTTTATTTTCTTTTATTTCACTTTCTCCTTTGTATTGCAGTCTTCTTTGTTTTAAATATTTTTTTTTTCAGAAATGCATTTAACTTGTTCTTTTCTTTTAAATTAATTGTATCTATGTTCTTAAAAAAACAAAATTTATTATGAAATTTTCTACATTACTAAATCAAATATAATCAATTATATAAATTATACTAGTTATTGAAATTAAATGTTAATTAATCAATCATTTTTACCATTCATTGTAAACCGAATATAATCTATGATATTTTTACCCTTGATTAAAAATTAAATAGTCAAAATCCCGCACTTAAAATTTTAGAAGAGGATAAGCAAGAAAGTAATCACATAAAGCAACGGACATAATGAGTTTATATTACTTGTATATATATATATAGTTTTTACTTAATATTAAACATTTTATTGATTGATTTTTGATGAATTTAGTTAATATTTTAAAATAAATTTATGAGTAATTTGAAACAATTTTAAAATTAAACTTGAAAAAAAAATAACAATTCCTATACATAGACCATTTGTTATATTACTCAATGTAACATATTTAATTAAAAGAAATACTAGCAACACTTTTTTATTTGAGTAATACTTTCATGAATATTAATTATAAATTATAAATATTAATAAATTTTATTAACATATTAAGATAGACTTGTTAAATGATGACACTCATAATTTTTTATTATTATTTTGAATAAATTTTAATGAATAATAAAAAATATTAAAAAATATCACTAACATTTTTTCATTTACTTTTTAAAAAAGTTTTAGTACATATTTAAATGATTGTGTGAACAAAATGGAGTTGATGGATTTTTTTTATGAGTTAATCACCTATACACTATTAGTGAAATTTTTTTACATTGACAATCAATCATATCTTTTAATGGTATCATGTCATTTACTTATTTAATAAAATAAATAAAATAAAATAATTTAAAAGATATGATTGGTTGCCAATATAAAATTTTTTACATTAGCAGTGTATGAATAATTAACTCTTTTGTTTATTGAGTCTGTGAGTCAACCTACTTATCACATATTTAATTCAAATGAAAATGAGTTGGATTTTTAATGAATTGGGTTCAATTTTTCTAGAACTGAAAATGATAATTTTTTTAGTCTAATTTAATTCACTTATGATAAACAAGTTGAGGCAGATTATAATTCATTTTGACAGTTTTCATTAGCATGGACCATGTGAGTAAGAGGCCGGTGAAATCAAGAAGCAAACCCACCACCAGGTAACCTGAAGGTCTAGAATGCAAGTTTTGTTGTTTAGG